TATATAGGCAGGTACCTCACATCATAGAGAAGTCACAGAAAAAAATTCAGAAAAATACAATTATGTTTAGACCCCGAAAAAAGTCTTGGCGGGGGCCGAATGCTGCCGGGTTCGGACCCTGTACGGGAGGCCGAATGCCCGGCTGTACGAAGGTCGGCCCGGGGACCTCCGTACGTACGGGCTGGTGACCATGTATATATATATATATATGTCGTCACAAACAGTATATATATACGTCACAAACAAAACAGGGTCGCCAGCCCGTACGTACGGAGGTCCACGGACCCCGAACGGCGTTCGGCCCTCGCCAAAATTTATTTCGGGGCCTAAAAATAATAATGTTTTTCTGGATTTGTTTTCGCGAGTTCTCTATGACGTGAGGTACATGCCTGTAACTTTTCAAGTCATTTGGCTCAGCCCAATAAGAATTAAAAATCGCCAAAGATGGTGGTGTCAAAACGTGCTCGCCCAAGTATTTTTTTACTTTTTACTTTTTGTTTTCACTTTAGTTTGGGGTCTAAACAATTTTATTATTTTTTGAAACTTTTTGAGTGGGTTTCATATTATGTGAAGTACACATCTGTAAATTTTCACGGCATTTAGTTGCGCCCAAAAAAAAAATGAAAAATCACCAAAGATGGTGTGTCAAAAACATGCTCGCGCACTCACTAAATTGAGTTCTCTTTTTATTTTTATTATTAGTATTTATTTTTCGTATTTTATTTTTATTTCAAATTTGGTAAGGAATTCGGATGTAATGCTTGAAATCTTGTTTGATTTATTTTTCTCCATAACAGATCTTTTTCATATTTTTTTAATGACTTTTTTTTTTTTTTTTTTTTTTTTAGGTATGTGTTCGGCCTGTCCCGAACGCCGGTTACCCTGTACATATATATATATTTGTTGTCCTCTTCTCTCTCTCTGCCTACAGTTTACCGGGCAGTTCTGTTTGTGACGATATATATTTATATATATATTTGTGACGATATATATATATATATATGACGATATATATATATATATGACGATATATATATATATTTGTGACGATATATATGACGATATATATATATATATATGACGATATATATATATTTGTTTCGTGGGTGTTTTGCTGACTTATGATGGGGTGTGAACCGACAGTCTGTAGAGTTTTCCATCTGGTGTAGAGTGTAATCAGTGAGGGGATTCTACAGACTGTTGAGGGTTCAGCCTCCTGATGAGTCGGTGAAACTCCGACGAAACAGTTTGTCACAGCCCCTCGTTTGTTG